CAAGAAGCCGGCTGTGGTGTACATGTTGCACCTGGCCATGGCAGATGTGCTGTTCGTGTCCGTGCTGCCCTTTAAGATCAGCTATTACTTTTCTGGCAGTGACTGGAAATTCGGGTCTGAAATGTGTCGCTTCGTGACTGCAGCATTCTATTGTAATATGTACGCCTCCATCATGCTCATGACAGTCATAAGCATTGACCGGTTTCTGGCTGTGGTGTATCCCATCCAGTCCCTCTCCTGGCGTACTCTGGAAAGGGCATCCTTCATTTGTCTGGCCATCTGGGCTATGGCCATGGCGGGGGTGGTGCCTCTCCTCCTCAAGGAGCAAACCACCCAAGGCTCAATGTCACCACCTGTCATGATGTGCTCAATGAAACCCTGCTTGAAGGCTATTATGCCTATTACTTCTCAGCCTTCTCTGCTATCTTCTTTTTTGTGCCATTGATTGTTTCCACACTGTGTTATGTGTCTATCATCCGATGTCTTAGCTCTTCCACAATTGCCAACCAGAGCAAGAAGTCGCGGGCTTTGTTCTTGTCGGCTGCTGTTTTCTGCATCTTCATCATTTGTTTTGGGCCCACGAACGTCCTCCTGATCATGCATTACTCATTCCTTTCTCACAGTTCCATGACGGAGGCTGCCTACTTTGCCTACCTCCTCTGTGTCTGTGTCAGCAGCATCAGCTGTTGCATTGATCCCTTGATTTACTATTATGCCTCCTCTGAGTGCCAGAGGTACCTCTACAGTATCTTATGCTGCAAAGAAAGTTCTGATCCCAACAGTTATAACAGCAGTGGTCAGTTGATGGCAAGTAAAATGGATACCTGCTCTAGTAACCTGAATAATAGCATATACAAAAAGCTGTTAACTTAGGAAAAGGGACTGTTGGTAGGTTTAAAAGAAAAGGTTAAAAAAGTGAATAACCTGAGGATTCTGTTAGTACCTGCCAAAACTATATTTACTTTACCACCTAAAACAACAAATGTATCATTTGCATGCCTGCTTCTTATGAGTACCATCAAGCATATATATTTGTTAATTACCAGAAAAGATAACAGGAACAGAAGACAATGTTATTCCAAGAGAGTGTTGTCAATGCAACAGTAATAACTGAATGTCACTTTTGGATATGTCTAGGTGANCGAGCCGCCCGAGGCGCGGCAGCTTCCCGGAGCAGCGCTGCGCAGAGCCGCGCCGAGCCCCGGGACAATGGAGCCGCGGCGGCTGCTGCTTGTCGCCACCAGCCTCAGTCTTTGCGGGCCCCTGTTGTCTGCCGGCACCAGGGTCTGCAAGCCAGTGTCAAAAGCAACAAATGTTACTATAGATCCGCGGTCATTTCTTCTCAAGAATCCCAACGATATATATGAACCAATCCCACTGGGGGAAGATGAGGAGAAAAATGAAAGTGGGTTAACTGAAGGCAGATTAATCCCCATCAATAGAAGCAGTCCTCTTCGGAGACCACCCCCTGTGTTCATCTCAGAAGATGCCTCAGGATACCTGAGCAGCCCCTGGTTGACTGTCTTTGTGCCCTCCGTTTACACCAGCGTGTTTGTAGTAAGCCTTCCTCTCAACATCATGGCCATCGTTGTGTTCCTCTGGAAAATGAAGATCAAGAAGCCGGCTGTGGTGTACATGTTGCACCTGGCCATGGCAGATGTGCTGTTCGTGTCCGTGCTGCCCTTTAAGATCAGCTATTACTTTTCTGGCAGTGACTGGAAATTCGGGTCTGAAATGTGTCGCTTCGTGACTGCAGCATTCTATTGTAATATGTACGCCTCCATCATGCTCATGACAGTCATAAGCATTGACCGGTTTCTGGCTGTGGTGTATCCCATCCAGTCCCTCTCCTGGCGTACTCTGGAAAGGGCATCCTTCATTTGTCTGGCCATCTGGGCTATGGCCATGGCGGGGGTGGTGCCTCTCCTCCTCAAGGAGCAAACCACCCAACCCAAGCGGCACACTATCCAGTGCGCCACCGGGCCGGCCCGCTTCTCAAATTTTACATGCATACAAAAATCATCTGTGGATGTTGTTAAACAGCAGACTCCGACGCTATAGGTCTGGGTGGGGTCTGCATTTGTAACAACTTCCAAGGTAATGTTGAAGTTGCTGGTCCTTGGACCATAGTTTGAGTAGGAAGATACCAAGTAAGAGATATCTTACTTGGTAAAATTTGGCTAGGTTGGAAGTCTAGGCATCCAGAGAATTCAATTCTTATATCTTTAAAATCATTTTCTGGGGCATTTTTCTATTTTAATAAAATTGGGGCCATTTTTAATGTGGTGGTAGCATAGGTACATAATCAAAATTTGTTTTAGGTGGTATATATTTTGTTGTATGGTTCTTCCTCTCTTAGGTTCTTTTCTAGGGAAAAAGATAGCTTAAAAGGCTCTGATCTCATACATAAACCATTTCACAAGACATGGGGGGTTTAGAGTGGCGACTCACACTTTTTAAAGATAGTGCCCAGCAGGCAGATACTGGCAGTGCCTGGTTACCAGAAAGCAAATGTGAATATGTTTCTTGTCTCTGGATCTGGCTGAAAAATAGTGACCTCAGGGACACACTGGGGTGCTAGTCAGCACCAGGAGCTTCAATCTTCATGGTGCTGGAATGAGGAGCACTGCAAACCCTAAGGCAAATGAGTCAGCCAAGGATCATCAGAGGATCAATGACTCCACTGTGCCTGGGGGAAAACAAAGATTTGGAAGTCAGCTACGGGAACACATGTTTGCAGCACATGTAATAAACTTGGAATAAATTCTTCACTGTAGACCCCTCTTACAAGCTGATGAAAAATCGTATAACTTCGTATAATGTATGCTATACGAAGTTATTACGAACGTCCTCCTGATCATGCATTACTCATTCCTTTCTCACAGTTCCATGACGGAGGCTGCCTACTTTGCCTACCTCCTCTGTGTCTGTGTCAGCAGCATCAGCTGTTGCATTGATCCCTTGATTTACTATTATGCCTCCTCTGAGTGCCAGAGGTACCTCTACAGTATCTTATGCTGCAAAGAAAGTTCTGATCCCAACAGTTATAACAGCAGTGGTCAGTTGATGGCAAGTAAAATGGATACCTGCTCTAGTAACCTGAATAATAGCATATACAAAAAGCTGTTAACTTAGGAAAAGGGACTGTTGGTAGGTTTAAAAGAAAAGGTTAAAAAAGTGAATAACCTGAGGATTCTGTTAGTACCTGCCAAAACTATATTTACTTTACCACCTAAAACAACAAATGTATCATTTGCATGCCTGCTTCTTATGAGTACCATCAAGCATATATATTTGTTAATTACCAGAAAAGATAACAGGAACAGAAGACAATGTTATTCCAAGAGAGTGTTGTCAATGCAACAGTAATAACTGAATGTCACTTTTGGATATGTCTAGGTGAATTTTATATATATATATATATGCATATGTATATATATGCATGCACACATATTATTTGCAGCACAGTATAGTATAGGTACTTTGAAACCCTCTCTTTTTTCCCCCAGTGATTATGAAAATAATATCCAGTTCTCTGATTTAATATGCAAGGTCTCCATTGGTGGAGTTTAGCCCCGAGCATCTGAAGGTATCCGTCAATAGTGAGAGACTCCATAGTCTGGATATACGCAGTTTTTGCAAATAAATGTATTTGGAAATTATTCAACAGCAATGTGTAAGTTATTGAGGGATATGACTTAGTACTACGTGTGTGCAGAAAAAGTTCTAGTGCTTTTTCATTTTAAACATATCAAAGTTTGATTTCTTAAAATTAATGAGACAGATAAAAAGCCCCTGTTTTGATATGGGTAGAATTTTTGACATTTAATGCACTGTATATGTAAACCAAGACTGAGTATAAGTTCCATTCTTGACTATTGGCTATTGGCTGGCTTCTGGAGTAGCCTCGCCCTGACAGCTGCATGCATCTGCCCCCAATGGAAGACTCCAAGCAGCACATACATGGCAGGGCCATGTCGGACACAGATTGGCCAGAAACTCTCCAGCTGAGCCTCCTATAGAGCAGCAAGATTGGGACCACCATGTTCGCTCCATCCTCCTGGGGTTCCGCCAAGGGTTGGCTGTGAACTGACCATATTTATTAGAGATTGGCAAAGCAGGATGTGATATCCTAGGAGATAATCACTAGGAAAGACTTCTCTGCCCATCCTAAAAACAAAAAAGGTGAGTTCATGTCCAGTAGTTGTCCTGCACAGCTCTCAGATGGAAGCACCCATCATGTGCCATGGGCACTCTGGTGGGTACTGGGCATACAGGGTGGAATAAAACTGAGATCTGGCCTCAAGTAGAGTAAAGTAGACAACACATAGTAAAGTGTGATGTGTGTGATAAATATGGCTGTATATAAAGAAGTGTTTTTAGCCAAATGTCAAGTGTGTTTCACAGTATCAGGGCTTGTCAGCTAAAGAACTTTGAACATTTGGGTTACTGTTTCCTGTGGTTATAACTTAAGAAGAAAACATAACACAGTACAGGATGTGTTGTTTTTTTTTAAATAAGTCCGTCAGTCTGCATTAATTTGACACTTTATTAACAAATGTTTTGTTCAATAGATTACTCAAATCAGGTTTTCTTTTAAGAGTCAATTATATCAGTTGGTTAGAAATAACAGAAGAAAATGGAATTGACATTGAAATCTAGGAAAACTATTCTATATTTTTCATTCACTAAGAGTTAATGAGATGATTTTAAAAGCATCTTTTAACCCTATGATGTTATTTAGTATAGAAAATCTTCATGGATTTGGCAAAGTAATTTGAAAATTAGGTTGAAATATATCTTTTTTCCTTATGAAAAAATGGTGGCATTGTCAACAAACAAAAAAAAAATGGAAAGTTGCAGTTAAATGCTTATCTGTTTACAAGAGCAAACTATTTCCAAATATCATAGAATAATTTACATGAAAGTAATATAACTGTACTGTAAGTAGAAGCTAGCACTGATTTTATTAATTTAATTACTATATTCACTTTATCTAAGTCAGTGAAGATATACCATCATTGTTTATTCAGTCTATTTATAACTATACTTATAAAATATTGTCACTCTTTTATGTTCACTTTGTTTTTTAAATATTTTATGTAACCTATGTTAATAAAAATGACAATTTTCTTGGTTAAAAAAAAAAAAAGAATTATCACTTGAAATTCCTTGTCATTCATTTCAAGGGCTTCTTGTTCTATAGGATCTAGAGTTTGAGATTTATTAACTTTTGGTGGTGTACTTTCTTGGTTTTTTGTGTTTCTG